GGGGGGGCTTCCCTGGTGGCTCAGTGGTTGAGAGTCCGCCTGCCGATGCAGGGGACACGGGTTCGCACCCCGGTCCGGGAAGATCCCACATGCCGCGGAGCGGCTGGGCTCGTGAGCCATGGCCGCTGAGCCTGCGCGTCCGGAGCCTGTGCTCCGCAACGGGAGAGGCCACAGCAGTGAGAGGCCCGCATACCGCAAAAAAATAAATAGATAAATAAATACTGGGGGCGGTGATGTGACCTTAGAATATTTATAGCTGTAGGACAACTATTCAGCCGGGTTTTCCCTCTAAAATTTTGCCCGGATTATTTCAAAATAAGTTAGATTTAAAGTTTTGATTATGCTGACCTGTAATTTATGGATGCATATATGTTTTTACTTTGTAAATATAGTTCATTTACCCCTAAAATGCAAGGCAGACGGATGGGGACTTCAGGAAGAGCCATCACCAAGAGCACGAGCGTGAGTGGAGAGATGTACACACTGGAGCATAATGATGGCAGTCAGTCGGACACGGCTGTGGGCACTGTTGGAACAGGTGGGAAGAAAAGGAGGTCCAGCCTGAGTGCCAAAGTGGTTGCCATCGTGACTCGAAGGAGCAGAAGCACGTCCCAGCTAAGCCAAACAGGTGAGTGAAGTGAACTCAACTTACACATCTCAAGTTCTCACTGGAGAGACAAATGTCAACCTTCATGCTATGGCTTGGGATGGGATTGTACAGTGTACGGATTCTCCTTTCCAAAGAACGTTTGTTTCTCTGTTTCTGGAAACCTGTTCCATGTGTGGGTTTTTTTGTGTTTTTTCTTTTCTGTACAGCTGTCTAACAAGGTATCATTTGTCAATCCCTGAAGTGGTCAGGTATTTCGTGAAAAAAAAAAAGCCGTGTTTACAAATATGCAAGGAAATGCAAAGAAATCTTAAAGAACCAAATTGGTTGAAATACAAGAAAAGCAACAGGATTCTCCTTTTCAAAATATTCCATAATACAATTACTTCTAATTTAGGCTATCTCCATATTGTTTTAGAAAAGAAGGTCAGTTGTGCAACTTGAAATACAGTCTTCAGGGGGCTGTGTGAATGTAATAATTGAACTGTGACTGTTCTATTTTCAATGCAAGTAAAAACCCAGCAGTTATTTTTACTCTACAAAAATGGGTCAGTGGATTCATGCAAAGAATAATGTCAATACAAATTTGAGTTTCAAACATTTTCTACTGCTTATAAATCTTAAAAGCTTTATATCCTCAGGGTATAGAAAAAAGCAAACAGAAGGGAGGATGATTATTTGTGTATTATCAAATACAAAAAACTGCCTAAAATTATATAACATTTGATCATACATGTTAGACAATTCATTACTAGGCTTAGCACTACGGAAAATTGAAGGTAAGTGAAATATTGAACTGATTTAAATTGTCAGCACCTGTTTCTCTTGCCATAACCTTAGTTCCGTTTATTGTTCCTTAAGAGCGAAAGTCTTGGCACAAAATTTACTTAGACTAAAAAACTTCCATGAAATCCTTTTGATAGTTAACTTGGCATCCTGGAAAGTACTTTTTTTTTTTGAATTTTACAATTTTATTTTTTTATACAGCAGGTTCTTATTAGTCATCCATTTTATCCATATTAGTGTATACACGTCAATCCCAATCTCCCAGTTCATCCGACCACCTCCACCACCCCGCCACTTTCCCGCTGGGTGTCCGTACATTTGTTCTCTACATCTGTGTCTCTATTTCTGCCCTGCAAACCGGTTCATCTTTTGTATGCGTTAATATACGATATTTGTTTTTCTCTTTTTGACTTACTTCACTCTGTATGACAGTCTCTAGATCCATCCATGTCTCTACAAATGACCCAATTTCATTCCTTTTTATGGCTGAGTAATATTCCATTGTATATGTGTACCACATCTTCTTTATCCGTTCATCTGTTGATGGGCATTTAGGTTGCTTCCATGACCTGGCTATTGTAAATATTTCTGCAATGAACATTGGGGTGCATGTGTCTTTTTGAATTATGGTTTTCTCAGGGTATATGCCCAGTAGTGGGATTGCTGGGTCATATGGTAATTCTATTTTTAGTTTTTTAAGGAACCTCCATACTGTTCTCCATAGTGGCTGTATCAATTTACATTCCCACCAACAGTGCAAGAGGCTTCCCTTTTCTCCACACCGTCTCCAGCATTTGTTGTTTGTAGATTTTCTGATGATGCCCATTCTAACTGGTGTGAGGTGATACCTCATTGTAGTTTTGATTTGCATTTCTCTAATAGTTAGTGATGTTGAGCAGCTTTTCATGTGCTTCTTGGCCATCTGTATGTCTTCTTTGGAGAAATGTCTATATACGTCTTCTGCCCATTTTTTGATTGCATTGTTTGTTTCTTTAATATTGAGCTGCATGATCTGTGTATATATTTTGGAGATTAGTCCGTTGATTCATTTGCAAATATTTTCTCCCATTCGGAGGGTTGTCTTTTCATCTTGTCTGTAGTTTCCTTTGCTTTGCAAAAGCCTTTAAGTTGCATGAGGTCCCATTTGTTTAGTTTTGTTTTTATTTCCACTACTCTAGGAGGTGGATCAAAAAAGATCTTGCTGTGATTTATGTCAAGGAGTGTTCTTCCTATGTTTTCCTCTTCCTATGTTTTCTTCTTCCTATGTTTTATAGTGTCCGGTCTTACATTTAGGTCTTCAATCTATTTTGAGTTTATTTTTGTGTGTGGTGTTAGGGAGTGTTCTAATGTCATTCTTTTACATGTAGCTGTCCAGTTTTCCCAGCACCACTTATTGAAGAGACTGGAAAGTATGTATTTTAAATTATGTCTTCTACTGGACAAAGTGACAAATAAATTAGAGATAGGGAATTTTGAGCCGTTCAAAAATTGAACTAATGCGCACAAGCTGTTTATCAAAACAGAGGTTTGTCTCTCTGAAAATCACAGGATTAGAATGGCCCTCGATTAGCGAGCATTTCTGATGGTAATTCCTCTCCGCCATCCCATGGGGATGAGCTGTTCATTGTGAAGGGGAATCATTTGTCTTCCTTGGGCTCAGGTTCCTTCCTTAGGAGTAGGAGTTGTTTTTCATTTCTTTTACTTGTTTTGTTTTTGACCGTGGTGCTTCTTGGTTTGTAATGTTCATGCAATACATGATGCTTTCCAGTGTGGGGTGTGGATGGACTTTCACCACCAGATTTCAGATTACTTTATCCCTTGGATGATATGGAAATTCTCTTTGATGTCCTTTTAGGGAGCCAGGGTTTCCTGCAGGTTCGGGGATGACTTATCTTCTTCCCCAGCCTCCACAGTCTGTCTCTTCTTATTTTCCCTGATAGTTCGTTCCCTCTCTATCTTTCCCTGGTTGAGTAGAATTACATTTTCTTAGAGTAAAGCACAGCAATAATTAAACATAAGAACTGTACCTGAGGCACAGCTTTGTAGGTAATAGATTCAAATGATTGTCATTGAAACACTCAGCCCCTTTGCTTTGTTAGTTTAAATTTTATTCCAGTTACAGGCATTGCTGAATTTCGAATAATACCTACCTTCCCAAAAGTTGCATTGTTAGTAACGTGCATGGAATTACCCCACTTTCAAAGATTAGTTTGCAATGTACAGGAGCGAAAAGGATTACGAAGCCAAGGTAACAAAATAGTTCTAGCCCAACGTGACTCAAGGAATAAACTCTAACTTTCTCTCTGGGGCTCGGCTTGCCTGTTTATTGGGTGGATTGGACTGAAAGTCGTCCTCTGAACTTCCCAGGTATAAGAGTTTATGTTTCTCTTTCTACATCATAATTGTACCTTTTATTTGATAACCTGTTTTCTCATTCTTCTTAATCTTCCCAAAGCAAGTGACCAGTGGTGACAAACCTCAGTTATCACTGTTCTTTATTTCACTGGATGCCCTGGTTTTTCTCCCTATTCCTTCTTCTACAAGTGATTTTTCCCCCTTTATCAATGATTATATGTCCTCTCTCCTGTGAAGAGACACGAAAGTTCAGAATTCTCATTCTAAGAAATCTTGTTTTTTATTACTTCAGCTTTTGCATGTGATCATCAAATCTGTATTCCAATTTGTCCTCACCCAAGAAATATTCCTTAATTTTAATTTCCTATAAGAGAGCCTCTTGGATGGCCTACTTTAAACAAGCGTAGCACTGTCACAAATCTGAATTTCCAGCCCTTCCTTTCAGTATTACCACAGTTTTTATAGTTACAAACCTTAGAAGAGTTTTCTACTTTAAAAATTTTTCACTCAACTCTCTCTTCCCCAGGTCCATCATCCCAGAGAAAACTATGTGATATTTGTCCAATTTTAAGGAACACTAATATAATTGATTTAAATGTCTTTAGTGTGAAGTGAATCCATTAATCTCAGACTGGTGAGGCTTTTCAGGGGGCCTTCTAAATGTATGGATAATTAAGACAGATTTTTTTTAATTTAGTTTATTGGAGTATAGTTGATTTACAATGTTGTGTTAATTTCTGCTGTACAGCAAAATGATTGTTTTTTATCCATCTTATATATAATAGTTTGCATCTTCTAGCCCCAAACTTCCGATCCATCCCTCCCCCACCCTCCCCTTGGCAATCACGCGTCTGTTCTCTGTGTCTGACTCTGTTCCCTTTTTTTGTAGATAAGTTCGTTTGTGTCATATTTTAGATTCCACATGTAAGTGATATCGTATGGCATTTTTCTTGCTCTGACTTACTTCACTTAGCATGATCATCTCTAAGTCCCACCATGTTGCTGCAAATGGCATTATTTCATTCTCTTTTATGGCTGGGTAATATTCCATTGTGTATATGTGCCACATCTGCTTTATCCATTTAACTGAGACAGATTTTCTAATGGTGTCAATTAATCAAAGATTGGGAAGAGGCAAACAGCATTTCTTATCTATTAAAACAAGCTGGGTGTTCTATGGAATAGCATGTATTATGTTTAATGTAAATTTTACTTGTGCTTAATGTAAAAAAAGACTTTAACTAAAGGCTTCTCCAGCGGTGAGTCTCCAATCCACCCCATGCGCCCTGGATTACGGGCTCTGTCTCCTCTGCCACACAGATGATAGATAATCAGGAAAACAAGAAGCATTTAGAAATAATGCTTAACCAGCTCTGTTTAGAATGGGAGATTTCAAGCACATCGTTTTTCTGTTTTTGTTTTCACGTAGCCACAAGTTTGCTCACGGAGTATATTTGATTCTTTGTTCAAAATAATAAGTAAAATTTATTTCCAAAACTTGAAAAGCATAGTAAACTGTATATACAGATATATTTATATAGTAAATTACATTTGTGACATATAAATGTATAAAATTTACCTTGCTTTTCTATGTAATTTGTTGTGTGCTTCAATATATTTACTGTGCTTTTCAATTATATATAATTATTTATGTGGAATATTCCAAGTATAAATAACATTAATATTTTAAAGTCACCTTTACCACAGTATTTATTCATAATGAAAGTAGGAATAAATTTGTTAATATATTTTTTAACTAGGAGAGTGACAGAAACAGGAAAGTTTCCAAAAATGCTACTGCTGGTAAATGGCTTCAAGCAATCAAGTACATAACTCAAAACCTGTTCAGTACACAGCTACTGAATTAGATTGAAAAGGGC